GGACCCTGTTTTTATTGCTGCTGGGGGTGGGTGGGTGTCCTGATTCCCTTAATTTGACCTTGCTCAAGAGGAAGAAAAATGCCAACTGTTTTGTCCTGGTACTGTCAAGATTGGCTTTGCATACCCTCTAATTGGCCCAATGTAATAGGGACACTTCCAATTAATTCTCCTTTGTTCTACTTTTTAAGCTGCTTTTAACATGCCCCAGTTTCTGTCTCCTCCTCCCACTTTTCCACTTGGTTCTCAAAAACTGCAAACTGCGTTCAAAGTGCAAAGGCGGGTGACTTTGGGCACATCACATTTTCTCCACCTCAAGGAAAGGCAAATGCAAAACCCTCTCTGAACAAATTTTGGCAAGAAAAACCCACAATAGATTTGCCTTAGGATTGCCATAAGTCAGAAATGCACACAACAATAACAACAATGCATCCCATAGTTGGGTATTTTTCAGGGGCTTTTATTCTGAATGGTGGCTGTATAACGAGTGGAAAAATGAATGAATGAGGGGAGGATAATTAAAGTCATCTTCAGAGTATTTTGGACAACCTTCAACTGGTCTACCACCTAGGGCCTTTTCTGGACAGGGGATAATTTAGCTACAGTAGTCCATGCACTAGTAATTTCCAGATTAGAGTGCTGCAATGCATTCTGTATGGGGCTGCCCTTGAAGTCAACTAGTGCGAAATGCAGCAGCTAGATTGATGACTGGAACGCCATTCAGAAACCACATAACATCAGTTTTGAAGGAATTAAACTGGCTGCCAATAAGCTTTTGGTCTGAATTAAAAGTGCTAGTGGTTTATTTATTAATTAATCTGAGGGGTTATTCAGACTTCTTTTTTTTAGTGTGACTATCTGAGTAATCTCACTCACGTATTCCAGTTTTGTTGTTCACACTATTTTTCTTATCGGAAGGAACCACATCTATGAGCATCTCTGCAAGTTCTGTTGCCCACATGTGTTAGCACTGCGAATAAAGATGGGGACGATCGTGCGAATGTTCGAGGCATGCAGAGTTTTCTTCTCCTAGATCTATTCACGTCGGTTAGTCACACAGCTGACAATGAATTTTTTTTAGGAAAACTCGGAGGGGGGGACGACAAGATTGATTATCCTGGATTAAGTCAGTTTTTTGGCAGTCTCCTCTCCCAAACTTAATGGGATGCATTCAAAATGCATGTAAACAACAAGCAACAACAAACAACCCACATTCTACCAGGATTATTTTCACCATCTGAATAACCCCTGAGATCCTATATCATGCTTGTGTAATGTAAATCTATATATTAGTTAGATGGTGGTTGTACTATAAGGCTCTTCTGTGAATACCATCTTTGTGCGAAACATCTGCACAATATACTTGCTGTTTCCACAATCCCACTGAATCAGGTAGTCAGTGTACTGAAGGTACACTATATAAAAAAAAATTAAGGTGCTGGTGATAATATTGAAAACCCTAAATGGCTTTGAACCATAATACTTGAGAGAACACCTCTCCATATATACACCTACCCAAGAGGGTCTACTGGAGGAAGACATGGAAGAGGGCCCCCTCTACAGTGGCACCCCAGTTGTGGGATTCCCTCCCCCAGAGACTCGATTGGCACCAACATTGTTATCATTTTGGTGCCAAGTCAAAACTTGGTTTTTTTTTATTAAAAACATTGGAGTTTATAGGTTATAGCCAGGTTGCACATGTACTATGGTTGGGTCTGTCTTAAGTCATTCTAACTGAGGGGCTATGCAGACAGGTGGCTCTGGGCAACCCCATGCTGCGGCCCTGATCCTTCCTTTTGCCACCCCTAAAAGAGCGGCAAAATGAAGCTCCTTTTAGCGATGGCAAAAGGCCGCCCTAAGAGCCAGAGCCATAGCTCTTCTGTGCCCTTTCGGCGCAGCGTGTCTACACACTGTGCCGGGAGGGTGTCCTGATGCTGTGCACTGTGTGTAAGGGTGTGCGGCATCACGATGGCATCGGGGTTGGGTTGGGACAGCTAGCGTGCGGCTGCCCCACTCCAATTCTATCCCCAGGCCAGCCTTTTAGGCTGGTCTGCATCAGTCCTGATTTTCAATTGTCTAGCTTTTAACCAATAAAATTATTTAATATATTTTCCAGTATTTTACATTCATATTAGAGGGATGCAGTGGCTCAAGTGGTTAAGATACTGACTCTGTTGATTGCAAGATCAGCAGGTTGGCAGTTTGAGGCCCAAGTGCTGCATGATGGGGTGAGCTCCATCAAATAGTCCCAGCTTCTGCCAACCTAGCAGCTTGAAATCATGCAAATGCAGGTAGATAAATAGGGATCACTTTGGTGGGAAGATAAACAGCATTCTGTGTAATCATGCTGGCCACATGACCACAGAGTAGTCTCTGACAATGCTGGCTCTTCGGCTTAGTAACAGAGATTTGCACTGCTCCCTATGCTTGGAGATGACTTGACAATCTTGTCAACAGGAATACCTTTGCCTTTACTTACATTCATGTTATTATCCATGGTTCTAAATTGTTTTTATTGTCTGCCAGCATGAAATATTCAGATATAGGGCAGGATATAAATAATATTGAAATGTTTCAATACCACAGGCCCTTGGTATCTGCTGGGGCTTGGTTCCAGGATCTCCCATGGACAACAAAATCTGTGGATATTCAAGTCCCATTAAATACTACAATGTAGTAAAATGGTGTCCCTTATATAAAATGGAAAAACCAAGGTTTGATTTTGGGATGTTATATTTTAAAAAAAATATTCAAGCTCTCTGGATGGTTGAATCCTTGGATAAAGAATCCATAGATTGGGGGGGGGGG